TGCGTTTCCCCCCAAAAAATGCAAATACACCTTCTAGATGGGAGGAGGCAAAGTGGTAGGAACGATTATTCCAAAGATACAGAGTCATTACAATAAGAAGTTTTAAAATAATTCCTAAGGAGTCGTCCCTCCCTGTTGGCGGCCTCTTACTTTTCTCCTGCACATACAGGTAGCCTTCGGCCGTGAACTGGCTGGCTCGCTTGTGGTCCTTGGGATTCTGTCGGATTTTGTTCATAAGCTCTTCCACTTCCGACCTCGTTCCTTCAAAACGATTCCGAGTCTGAAATGGATAAAAAGCACAGACATGTTTTAAGTTCTCCCACGAGTTTTTTGTTATTTTTTTCATGTATATTTCTAAGTCTCTGAATAACTATAAGTAATTCATAACATTTTTCTATAAGTTTCTCATACCCAGCCTTTCCAGTGTGCCTCTTTGTTAAGAAAAGGGGACCGGGTGGTGGTAAAATAACAAATAGAGGCGTCAGTGTAACCAGAGATGACTTACTTGAGCAGCTGACCAACACCAAGAATAATTCTACTACTCAACATAAGAATGCCTGCGTCCACGTCTCACAATTCTGCTGAATCTTAGAATTTGTTGCAACGCAGGTCATAGAGCATCCGTCCCAGAAGTCTTTCCCTCACAACAGTCAACCTGACCCCTTGTCACGACGACACCAGCAACATGTCAAAGGGTCAGCATCTGAAAAGCTTCCTTCTTTTAAAGTTAAATATGAGGATCGTTTTTCCAGGTCAAGGTAACTGCACTTGAAAATGACATTTCTTCTAAGAAATGGGGGGGGGCCTCACCTACAAATATTGTCTCCTAGAGCTGAGGATGCAAATCTCATTTCTGAAACCCAGTATCTCTGCCAATGGCTACACTGACAAAGCACACGAAGGGGGAGGTGACAGCATTTCCGAGGCGACTGTGAGGAGTCAGCACCAGCGAGTGCCTGGACCTCGCTCTCATCCACACTCAAAAGTAACTGTATTAATACGAAAAACTGCCGATGTGACGCCGCGGAGGCGCGGAGATGAAAAATTACTATTGAAATTTCTCTTCTCTCCTCCCTGTAATGAAGGGGGTGACCAAGGGTCCGGAGAGCAGAAAAATGGAAGAAAGGCAGACATTTTTTAGGGGGATGGGGAGTCCCACAGAAGTGGTTGTAAAGGGGAAAACACGTCTGCAGAGACATGCAATAGGGAGGTGAAGGCCTGGGGCGAGGCAAGAACCGATGGGGGTGGGGGGGAGCATCTGTAATACTCTCAACAATAAAGATAAATAAAAGAAAAATAAAATAAAAGATCTGTGTATGTGTTAAAAGAACTTACAAGGCTGCAAAGCGGGTGGGGCTCATGTGTTAATGGCCACTTCCCATTCTCCTGAATCCAGGGTTTCTTAACACTGACCACACCCTGGCTTTATTCGCCTTCTTTGTCACTTTGCTGAAATTTCTTGCAACCCTCACTTCTTTCTGTCTCTACGTTTCATACATATACATATACATATACATATACACATACACATATATATACCCACACACATATATATGTGCATACCACATATAGGTATGTACAGACGTGAACATATACACACAATTTACCTCCTATTTACCCAATACTCTCATTATTTATGTTCAAATTGTCCTGGATTTGACCTGTGCCTTCTGACATGCCCCCTAACCCTCTGAGTAATCCCATCCTTTCTGATCCAAGGATCCCGAGTTCACCTCGTACTGGCCCAGGCCTAAAGTCAGCCATTTCCCCAACGGGGCCCTTGCTCCTCTTAGTGGAGGGTCGTATTTAGAAACCAAGATCTGGGCAGAGTCCACAACATCATAAAACCAAGAGAGGGACCAAAGGAAAAGGAACAACGAAGTAAAAAGACGGTAAGCCCGCCCCTCAGAAATAACCATGTTTGTATTTTTACGTGACCACTCCAATCTCTTTTTGTAAAAAACACAGTTTATTGCTTTGATGGTCTACTATTCTCACAACACTGTGACAAAGACATTTCTGCATATTCTTACATTTTTTTAACCATTCTTCCTATCTCCTAGGGGGAAGGAGAATCCTAAAATTTCTCAAGTTGGGCCTTCCTCCAAGAATTCTATTCTACTCTCCTATCCCATATTTCCCAGAGGAAAGAGATCACAGAAATGTAAAATTGATTTTTTAAAATATGCTTTAAATTTTGATGAATTTTACCTTCTTGTGCATAATCTATTTCTTTTTCATTGTTGTTATTAATCCTCACCCAAGGATAATTTTTTTCCACTGGTT